CGTTTCTTCCATCTAAAAACAGCTTTTTATTCTGGTAAAAAGTTGGCAGCACTGGAAATTATTGATGTAGCCAATTAATACATATCGATATATATCGGTTTAATAATCTTTATGGAATCAATATGAATAATTGTTATGCGACACATATTCCCAAATGACAAATATATATATGACATGAGAAAGCACCGTATGATATGCCTATATGGTACAAAACCATATAATTTTATGTTTGGCGCTCACCTGGAAAGTTGCCTCAATATTGTCCTTCCATAGCTCCTCAAGCTTATTAATCTGTGCTGCCGAAATTTGACGTGCACGCAGCTGACCCTGCTCGCTGGGTTGCTTCACGAGCCAGTGCAAAAAGCAGCGATCGGCTATGAGTGGCTTCCACTGCTCCTGATCCCAGTTCATGTCTTTCAGCGAGTTCTGTGCGGCGCACGGCTGACGGCACAGCAGCACCACCACCGAATCCGCCTTGGCGGGTATGAAGCCCAAGACAAATACATTGCGTACACCGCAGGAATAGCACTCCAGTATGGTCTCGCCCAGTGGTCCGTCGCCGTGCAGGGTCACCTCACGATGTTTGGCACGCACGAGATGATTGATAATATGCGAGCCAGATGTGCTGCCACGTCCGTTGCAGAACCACTTCTTGCAATTGTTGCACATGACCACGGTGGCTGGATCGTGAATGCCACAATATTTACAGGCATGTGGCGGTAGCTCCTTGACATATGCCGAATTGCCACCGACGCCGTTCTCATCGTCCTCCTCTTCGAATTGCAAGTCGGCCAAATCGTTGGTGATAGAGGCCAATCGTGGATGAATATCATTATTTTGCACACTTACGCGGCGCGACTGAAATTGACATTTACAAAATGTTGACCAAATTTCATAGCATTTCATATGTATGTGTATACACATGCATACACGCGCGCACACACACGTATACAAACACACGTGGCCTGGCTGCTCACCTGCAAATCCAGCTGATCGGCCTGGGTCTGGCTCTGCGATGTGGACGGCATGGTAAAGTCACGATAATCATACTGTGTCGGCTGCGTATCGGCGCCACGCAAAAGCTCATTGTCATCCATGTCCAGGAAGGAGAGCGTCGAGCTCGGCGCATACGTGTCCACGCTCATCGTCGAAAGTATTTGTTTGTTTGTTTGCTTTTTGGTTTGTTTGTGGTGTTAATGCAGTTGCCGCTACTAAGTACTGTTACAAATGAATGTGCAATCGCAAGTCTTTTATTGTTATTCAGTTTTGGTAACACCGACTTATTTTTCTGTTTAACTGTTGTGCATTATTTTTTGGTTCTTCCTCTAGTTCTTTTCGCTATTTTTTCTGCTGCACTCACCTCGCCTTCCGCTTTGCTAAAAATGTCGATGGGAAATTATTAGACTTGTTCCTTCTTGTCGCGTGCTTCAAGTTGCTGGTAAAATGCTTGTAGCTTACTGTGTACGTTGTCACAGTTGAAGCACATTCACTAAATATGCAATGTCTATTGTAGCACTTTTTGTTTTTGCGCGTGAAACTACTTCCGTCGATGGTAGAATACAATAGTTTTATTTAGCACGTTGCTCTCCTGACGGAATCTCAATGAAGACTGACACTTGATCAAAAACAAAAAAAAAAAGCTAACAAAAAATTCCAAGCCTTGCAACTTACAACATTTAGTTGCTTGTCTGTTATTGTTGCAGCGCCTACTAGTTCACTGCTTAGCCATTTGTCAACTACATATGTTCGATTAGGATTTTATGACAAAAAAATATATAAAAAATACCAGCATACTACAATTATATTGACAGTCGCGCGCGATTCTCTCGCCTTGTGAAATAGCAAGTTGTTCAGTGTTGTTTACATGTGTGCGCATTTGAGTTTGTGTGTTCGTGTCGTGTGCGTGAGCTAAAATGAGTTGTTCATTGAACTAGTAGGCTTTGCTTATTCCGTAAAGTTGTCGACAGGCAAAGATATATGAAAGCATTTCATTTCACGTAAAACTTTCAAGTCGGTAGACACAGAACAAAAGTTTTCTAATTGAAATTAAAACGCATACAATAAACAAATCCATCGAACATCTTTTTTGCTCACGATTTCATTTACAATCATCAAATTGGCAGCATGGCAAGGTACTTGGTATTTTGATTACGAATGGTTCAAATCTGGTATTTCTTGGATTTTGAACATTCACAGAGAATGTCTAAAGTGATTAACTCAATTTACAAAGTTTGGTGACTGCACTGTTGTTGGACGCAATCGATAGATCGATACAGTTGTATCATCCCTAACTCCGATTGCAAAACCGACAACTCGCAACTCGCTTGTTAAATTTTCGCATTGAAAAAAGTGCTTTAATTAGTAAAAGTGTTTTGAAAATTGTGCGAAAATTAAGGTAAGTGCCTACGCAAAACAAATGAAGCGATAAGCAAAATGCAGTTTAATGGCCAGCATTTCCAAGTCAAGTGCAAAAATCATCTAATACGGTGTGTGACCGTGTGCGTGTGTGTCTGTGTCGTGCCGCTTATACCAAGCGCGCTGTTGCTTAAGACCCAGTTGGAACATGCTCAACGCGTTTATAATCAATTTCGTGAATAGCGGTTAACAATTTTTTCTGCAAATTTAACAAACTATATTTCCCACCATATAAGAAAAAGAAAAAAATGTACAACAAAATTAATGTGTTATCAACAAGAATGCATACTCTTAACGTCAAATCAGTGAGTGCTTAATTTCCACACGGGCATACGAATTTCACTGCTCGTTCGGTGTCTCTTTTTTTTCTGAATTTCTTTGCTGCTGCTGCGCTACTGCTGCTTCATGTGTATGTGCTTCTTCTTCATGCTCGGCACATTTTGTATGAGCGCTTGTCAAAATACGCGTACAAATTTCCGTTCAATCGTGTGTGCGTTGAAAATAACAAGCGAACAAGAAATATATATATGTATATAAATACAGTGGCAATAGTTGGTTCAATGCATTACGGGCCCTAGTAGTAAACTGTAACTGTAACAATTCATATACATATATATTTTCTCTCAAATAATCATAATAATCTTTAAATCGAGACGCGCTCGAAAAACTCGTGGACAAATTCGATTCGTTTATGTGCGTGTGTGTATATACATATATATTTATATATATGTAATATTATAAATATTATATATTTATGTCTTTATATATGTGTGTTGGTGTTACATACATAGGTTTCTTGACGTTGGCTGCCCCCTCTTCATTTCGATTACTTCCCCACACCCACATTTTTAGAACTAGGGGAACGACAACTTCTATGGTTATTTTCAACAACAAATAATTCCGTCAAATTTCGCAAAATAATTCCTTTAATGTAGGTGGCACAGTGGCGGTGGGAAAGGCGGCGATACGCCTCCGCATCCCCACCCAAAATGAAGGTCCTTGGCATGTGATTGAAATATTTATGAAACTTCTCTTCTTTCTCTCCTTCTCTCGATATCTTCTCCACAGCAAAATGAGCAGCTCCGAGGAAGTCTCCTGGGTTACCTGGTTCTGTGGACTTCGCGGCAATGAGTTCTTCTGCGAGGTAAGTTATAATATAAACACACTCACGCGCATGTATATCTGTGTATATAAATGGAAACTATTAATCTGGTAATCCCCAAACATTTCCTTGTTCCATGCGGTTACCTAAGAGGGCGCACGCACTCAGCCACAGCCATAGGCGGAGATATCGCGAAGCGCCAAGCATACATTGTATATGCAGTGACTGTTTACAGTGGAGGCACGCTAAAGTGCATTAATTGAAAACAATTTCTATTATGGAAAATATCACACATACCAGACTTTAGAAATCTAATTGCTTTGCACCGCTCTCCGTTGTTCGCCAACAAAGTACAGTCTTCATCAATATTCTCTAGTATACTAGTACATGACTGTAATTCAATCAGAGTGCATTATGGCGACGATATTCTGAAGTAGTGTTAATAATACGTAGCTATAATGAGCAACGTTTATATAGTCTTAACTGGAAGTGAATCGAACAACAAGAACCATGTCTTGCTTAAACAGCGATCGACCAGAAAAGCTAGACAAATTTATTACATATTATTTGACTCTGATTATAATTAATTATATGTTTATACATTGCAGGTCGATGAGGATTATATACAGGACAAGTTCAATTTAACTGGTTTAAATGAGCAGGTGCCCAACTATCGTCAGGCCTTGGACATGATTTTGGATCTGGAACCGGGTAAGAGCGCTAAGCTTTAGTTAGCTTTTCTGCTATATATATGTGATCAAATATTCATCTAAATTTTGTAGAGGATGAACTTGAAGATAATCCATTGCAATCGGATATGACCGAACAAGCAGCTGAAATGTTATATGGGCTCATACACGCTAGATATATATTAACAAATCGTGGCATCGCTCAAATGATTGAGAAATATCAAACTGGCGATTTTGGACATTGCCCACGTGTCTATTGTGAGAGTCAGCCCATGCTACCTTTGGGTGCGTGTATTCAGTTGGATATTATGCACAGTTATCTCTATGTTTGTATACTAATATGTGTATATATTTTTTACTCCTCTTTGCATCGTGTTCAGGACTGTCGGATATACCCGGCGAGGCAATGGTGAAAACCTATTGTCCCAAGTGCATTGATGTTTATACACCGAAATCGTCGCGTCATCATCACACTGATGGCGCCTATTTCGGCACTGGTTTTCCACACATGCTCTTCATGGTGCATCCCGAGTATCGCCCAAAGCGTCCTACTAATCAATTTGTTCCACGGTAAGCATCCGCAACTCTTTCCATTTCATTAGAAAAGCAGAATATTTAAGTCTTGCATTTGCTAATATGTATATTAAAGAATCAGCCTATAATATACTAATTGTTCAGCAGAATTTAGTCATAGAAGTATGTTCTACTATATTCGATTCGAGTAGTACTTTTCCTTGAATACTTAAAAGCTATTGTTAAAATACTACTCTTTATTAGAGAGATGGGCTTCAATACTCTTTTGCTCCTTATCCGACTTAAATTTTAACTTAACTGAGATTATAATGAAGTTCTTTAAGAGAGATACAGATAGAAATAGATTTGATCATTTCAGCCTTAAGCCTTGAACGTTTTACTGGCTGATCTCGAGTTATATTGTAATTGCGACGAATATTCTTAAATCTACGAAATATGCTAATTGATTTCTCTTTCTCTTTCTATTCCATGTGCCAATGATCGATGCTCACCTGCCGCCAATATATATATACATCTATAAACTACAAACAGTCTGTACGGCTTTAAAATTCACAGCTTAGCTTATCAAATTCAGCTGCAGGCAGCAGCCAATTTCAAAATGCCACTACGAGCGGTAAATTTAAAATGAAATTTTTTATTAACAATTTTTTTTTATTGACTAAAAACAAAAACAAACAAAAAAATTACATTAAATTCACTTGAAGACATGCAATAACATACAAAAAAGAATCCTTCAACTAAGCATATATATACATATATATATATATATCTATATATCTATATATTTTTTTTATTTGTTTCTCTCCCCACACATACAACCACCAACCACCAACACAAAATACCTAATGGTCATCTATCTGAACGACAACCAATTCTAACTTGAATCTGAACCGTATTCAATGTCTATGTATATACATATGTATATATATGTATACATATTTATATATGTATGTATGTATATATATATATTTATATGCATTCGCAAATGTGTGTGTTTGCGTGTGTGTATGTATGCATATATGTGCCTATGTGTTTGTGTGCGTGTGATTGACTCTGTGTCTGTGTTATGCTTTGCTAATATCTATGATCTGATCTATCGCTGCGTGCTAACTGCTTTTCGATATAAAATATAAAAAATCAATAACTGTTTTCAAAATATCAATATCGATATCAATATCCATTGTCTTATTTCCTTTCCCATACAAAAACATTTTGTATAGAAAAACTAATAAATAAAAAAATAAAAAACACACACACATGCATACCACACACACACACACACACACAACAAATCCAAAACATTGCGTATATATACATGATCGATTATAAAGAAACGGGAGACATAGTTTCAACTGAAGAGAACCGACAGCTACAGACCCTAACAACTGCGAAGGTTTTGAGCGCCAGAAGTAAAAAATCATTTATACAAAATAAAAGTAAAAAACAAAAAAAAAATGCGTTTATATTTAAAACAAAAAAAAAAAAAACAAAAAATAATAATAATAATAATGATAATAACTACAAAAAAATAATATAATTAAAACTAAACTCGTAGTGAAGTGAAAAAGTAGTAGAAAATGTATTTAAAGATAAACAATTTCAATGAAAAGGAACAGAAATTATAAGAACAATATGACAAAAAAAAAACACGAAAGCTATATGAACAGAAAGGAATTCTTAAAGGAACACCCACACCATCACCTACACACGCACAGTACCCATATGGCCATATAATAATTGATCGATATTGATATCGATATCGAACATGTCGCATTCATACAAAAGCTCATGAGAACGAACATAACGAATTTTTGTCGTTGACACAATCAAAAATGTTCATATATGTATCTATATACATATGTGTGTGTATATGCATACATGTATGTATATATATATATATATTATTTATCTTAGCATTTAGTAATAGATGTAAAAAAACAGAAATGCAACGACAAAAGCCAGCAAAACTAACATCAGCACACACACATTACCTAGAGGGATTTTTATCATAAAATTTTTTAGCGCTTGTGTTTTGCTGTTCGTATGCTTCTCTTTGTTTTGCACACACACACACATACATACACACACAAGCAGATTCATACATGTACTTTAAACACACGTCTTCACAAACACAAGTACACTTGTTTTTAACCTAGTATGTATTAGTAAATAATTATGTTACAAACAAAAAAAAAAACGAACAAAAACAGATACATATGTATGTACATGCATAAATAACTTGTCTTTAGTGTTTAGCATTTTTATAATACCATATACATATATACCTATATATATATGTTTCATACACACACATGTACTTTGCATTTGTTTTACTTCTCTTTGTTTGTTTTTTTTTTTTTTCCTTCAAATATGTATTTACATCTGCTTTTACAACGCACGTAATTTATATTGTACAACAGGACACAATAGGTGGCAACACTAGACCAAAACAACACAGTTAGAAAATAGAACGAAAAAAAAAGAATTCAATTATCAATATGAGCGAACAAATGATAAATAAAGACACTGTGAAAGTGAGAGAGTGGGAGAGAGCGAGAGAGTAACATTTTGTTAGCCCATATATGTATACAACGATTCAAGCAACCAAGTACTTCCAAACAAAAAAATCAACAGCCACAATACTGCTACAATTATACATACTCAAATATTTAGTAACATAATTATGTAAAAGCAACGTTTTATAATTTATATAATAATGTATTAATCACAAAAACGCTGATCCACAGAAACCCGAACCAGTAACAGATTCCAACTTAGAAAGCAATAAACTTTGAATACAACAATCAATCTTATGAAAAGCAAAACGAAAAGATAAAAAATACATTAAATGAATCACGCAAAAAATATATATTATACAAATGCAAATAAAACTTATGCAATCCAATTTGAGGACACAGAAGAAGCAAAACAGAAATCATGCACACCCAGACACTGAACACATACAAACAAACAAACACACACAAATATACAAAAGCCAAGCAAGAAGCGAAGGAGCCGAAAGGTGTTTCAATGTTAAGGCATGGGCAGAGGAAGCGAGAGCAGCAACAGCAATTCCAAACATATGTAAACTGATCAAGACAGAGCAAGACGCAAGATACAGAGGTGAAGCAGCAAAGCAGTGGGAGTGAGGGAATTACCAGCACACCACCCACACAAACATAAAGAGACAAAAGGATTGAGCTCTAATAAAACGGAGTGGACACATAAAGAGGAAGAGCGAAGAACACAATATGCAAATGTATGCACACGTAGGCATACACACACACACACACACACACACACACACACACACACACACACACACACA